TTTGAGAGGTTTTTGCTATAGGGAACATGTACTCGCCAGAAAGACAGAGAAAAACAGAGACAGAAAGCAAAAAATCACTCCCCAGGGGGGATGGCCATGCCGCAGTCTCCTCTCCCCCATTCTCCTCTCGGGATCCTGGGCATGCACGCACTCACACCCAGCGTGAGTTTAAGCCACTGGGTCCAGGTCTCGAACCATGGTCGGCTACATGGGAGTCCAGTGACATAGCCAACACCAACTGCTGGTCCCCCCAATGTGCTTTTCAAGCTGCTGGGTCCAGGACTCAAACTGCAAAGTTGGTCATGTTGGATCCAGCCATCTTAACCACCACATCACTAGCTGGCCTTAAGTTTGTTTATTTCTTCCATGAATGCATGACAGAGAGAGAGAGAGCAACAGCCCCCACCCTCAACGGAGTCTCTGCCAGCCTGGATCGTGGGCATACCCATGCCGAGCATAGACAGGGAGGTCTCCAGACTCGAACCTGGAACCTTCCCATGTGGGTCAGCATTGTATTTTACGACTGTGCCGTTGTTCAGCCCTTGTGTTATCTCCATTTTATAGCTAAGGCTCAGAGAATTTAAGGGTCTTGCCTAGTGGTGGGCCCTGCCTGGCTCCAAGCTGCAGGCAAGGCTCTTCCCCTACCTGACCCTCAGTCTTTAAATATCTAAATCAAGGGACAGAATGAATGAGCTCCAGGGCCCCTCTGGCTGTCTGGACTAGAGTCCAAAGTTCCTTCTCTGGAAGAGGGGTTCAGATGAGTGGAAGGAGCCGGTGGCTTGTCCCGGAACCATGTCCTCCACTGGCCCCGCCCACCCATCTCTGAGGGGGGATTGAGGTCTGAATGAGTCAATGTGGCCACTGGTCTCTAGAGGGTTGGCCCACAGCAGGGGCAGCTCTTAACATTTGGTAGGAGGACCAGGGCCCGCCTCCTCACAGTCCGTTCATTTACTCAGTCAGCAAATATTTGTTAAATACCTCCCGTGGGCCGCACGCTTTTCTAGATATTGGTGTCACAGTGTGCCCAGAGAGCATTAACTTCCTGTCTTTGTGCAACTCAGTCCTCTAAGCAGGAGACGCAGACCCCTCGACCCCCTAAAAACCACCATACAGAAAAATAATGAAGCAGAGACGTGCCCAGGGGGATTGAAATTTTATCTTATTTTTTAAGAGATTTTTGCTAGAGGATGCGTGTGCATGCCAGAAACAGACAGACAGACAGACAGAAAGTGAGAAATCACTCCTCAGGGAAAATGGCCACGCCACAATCCCTTCTCCTCCATTCTCCTCTCAGGATTTGGGCACACATGCACACGTGTCTGGCATGAGTTTTCATCTGTTGGGTCTGGGACTTGAATTGCACTCAACTATGGGGGAGTCTAGCGACATAATGCGACATAATGATACACCATCTGCTGATCCTGGGATAGGAACTTTAAACCAGGCACAGGGACAGCCTCCCAGTGAAGGCGACTAAGGCCAGACCTGAGGAGGTGAGGGTGAGCTGTGCTACTCTCCTAGGGCTAGAATGGCCAGCAGTGAGCACAGCCAGGGTTCCGGGCCAAGGCAGGAACCCTGTGAGGTGCGCAGGAGCTGCGGTCCGGAGAGCAGGATGGGCTGAGGGCAGACTGTGGGCAGCCATTTTCAGGACCATCCTTGGTGGTTCGTCAGGCCAGACTCCCACAGTCTTGACTTCAGACCCCTGAGCCCCCTCTCCTGGATCCACCTGCAGCTGCACTGGCACCCTCTGGCAGGCCCAGGGCTGTTCTTGAGATGCCCAGCCCAGTGTCCCAGGGTGCCAAGTGGTCTTGAGGTTTCCAAGGCTGGGAAACAGATATGAAATGTCTGTCTGGGGGCCGGATGGTGGCACGGTGATGAAATGCGAAGCTCTGCAAGGCTGACCAGTGTGGGAAGGTTCTGGGTTCAGGTCTGGAGACCTTCCCAAGTGTGCTGAGAACATGCGTGCTCCTGATAAGTACCCCGATCCAGGGCTGGCTTAAGCTGGGGGTGGAATGCACCCTTGGAACTCCCGTCAGGGTGCTGTCTCTCCCTCCCTTTTGCTCATGGAAAACAAATATACCTGGGGTCAAAAGGTGGTGTGATGGTTAAAGTGCTGGACCCCCATACGGCAGACCATGGCTCAAGTCCTGGAACTGGGGGCTTGAAAAATCATGCTGGTCACATGTGCATGTGTGGCCAAAATTCCAGGAGGAGACCGGAGGAGAAGGGATTATGGCATGGCCGTTCCCTGGGGGTTGGGGGTGTGTGATTTTGCATGTCTCTTCTGTCCGTGTATCTCCAGCAAGTGCACATACCCTATGGCAAAAACCTTTGAGAAAAAGAAAGAAACTTAAAACATCAAACAAAACAACAACAAACATTTGGAAAGGTGTGGAACAAACATTTGGAAAGGTGTGGCAGAGCTGCAGTTCCTGAGCCCCTGCAGGACCCCAGGCAGGCCCCTTGAGCTGGGACTTAACTCCACACCTACTTTGCATCTTCTGGGTGGGTGTCTGGGTGTGTAGGGAGGGCGACTGAGGAGATTTTAGCAGGCCACACCCTTGGGTTTTGTATTTGGGAGTTAAGTCTGGGAGGAATCACTGAGAACTGAAGCGGAGATTGAAGTCAGGCTAGGAGTTACTCGGACACGGTGAGATTGGTCTGCTCTGGAAACGTTTCTCCTCAGCTGGGTTTTGTGCCAGGTCCGTTTCCCCTTAGAGCTTAGGCGAAAAGCTCCCCGAAGGAACCCATGAGGTGGGTTCTGGGGAGAAGAAGGAAGAGGACTGTCCTCTGAACGAGAGTGGTCAGGCAGTGAAGACTGGGAGGGTCCAGGAGGCCCTGGGCCTTAGCAGCCTTGGGAGAGGGGGGTTCTAGCTGAGCTGAGCAGGATCTTCAGTGGGGGTGGTGTCGGGCTGAGGGGCTGGAGTACGGTTACAAGTCCTGGAATGCCAGGGGACATGTGACAAGGAGGCTAGCACTTGCTGCAGACCAGAAATGCTGCTCCCAAGGCAACTAGTAGGAAGGGGTGGGTGAGCTGTTCCAGCCAGACAGGGCCAGTCTCCTGGGAGGTGGATCCGCGCCCTTAGGCAAGTGCCCTAGGGCGTCCAGGTTCCCCTCCATAAACAGCTGAAAGAAGGTTCTCAATCCCTTCCTGTTTGAGAGGATCAAATGACCTAGCTAGAAAAGGGGAAGACCCATATTTGGGAGGCAGGGCCCTGGTTGGAAGGTTCCAGGGGTGGGGAGGACGGGAGAACACAGGGGTGTACTGCACCCCTGCTCCGTGGGTCAGCCGAGTGCCCAGGGCCAGGTGAGAATCTCAGTGCAGTGCTGCCTTATTCCCAATACTGCGAGAGAAGGCGGGACTGTGGATCTGTAACATGACATCTTCCGACTTGGAAATTTCGGAAATCCTTGGATGAAACAAAACACCACCCAGGCTGTGCAGAGCCCACTCCCTGGCTGGTGACCCATTGTCGGGGAAGGTGGCGCTGAAAGCAGGTCTTCTCTCCTGCTCTTGGAAATGTGCTCAGGACAGACTCGACTTCTGGGGGACCACTGGGAGGACAGAGCTGTCTGCTGGGCTGTGGTTCTGGGGGAAGCCCTTCCCCCCCTGTGGGTCAGTTTTCTGGCCGGTAGGACGTGGTCAGTGAGCTCCCACCAATGCGGATGCTGTGTGACTCAGTCCCTCAAGCTTGAGGGACGACGTGGTTATTATGGAGTGACTCTTCCTGGGAATGAGCTTCCGGGACTGGATGCAGTGCTTGCTGGCATTTTGTGTGTGCAGTCACAACTTTGTGTGTGAGTATAGGTGTGTCATAATTTGGGGCTGCCTCGCACAGCGTAAATAGCATGGTTTTAATAACCCTGTCCCAGCACCTTTCATGGGCTGCTCTGCAGACCTGTAGGAAGCCTTAATTCCAGGGAGGGCAGGGTCGCTCTTCCCGATTTGCAGTTAAGGACCTCCAAGTCCCGCCTGGGAGCCTCTGGAGACCCGGATTCAAGCGTTCTCTGGCAGTGTGCGGGATCGCGCATTCCGTGGCCGAGAACAAGAGCAGGATCTGAGGGTCTGCTCTGTACTTTTCACTCTTTGAGACACAGGGAGGCGGGGGCAAGAAAAAGGCCTTCGCCCTGGATTTCTCGGAGGAGGGCGAGGAGGATGAGCAGAGCTACCTCTCCGGACCTTTGGTCCACGTTGCTCTTCCCGGGCTGCCCTCTCCCATCTCTGGCCCCTGAATCGCCCCGGCCTGTGTTCCCCGCAGCCTCCCATCCTAGAGGAGAGCGAGCCCCCGGTGCCCTGTAACAGGCGCTGTATGCGGGGGCCGCTGCTTTCGAAGGAAAGAGGCCAGCAGCAGGCAGAAGAAGCTTGGGCCTAAGAAGCCCGCTTTTTGTGCGCCTTCCCCTTCGCCGTGCCTCCGCCCTGTCAATTCCACCTGTGCCCAAGGCGGTAACGGGGGGTCAGTGTCTGTGCGTGCGTCCCCATCCCCACGCCTACACCGCGCTCCTGCCCGGGCCCTTCCCGGGCCTGGGAGGACTGCATCTCCCGGCTGCGGCCCCTGGCGTCTCTGGGCGCCAAGGGCGCGGGCCCTTTAAATCTTCCGGGGCGGCGGCAGCCGGCC